CCCCCGAGAAACGCGACGCTGCGATATTTATTTTCCCCTTATTATACCTTCTATATTTATGTATTATGTGTACACATTCCGTGAACAAACTCTATACGGTCGTGCGTCGATTTTTGTTTTTCGTTTTTCAGACTGTACAATACACATAGTCGTTGACGTGCCCCAGGAGCTTTAGTAGCGGAAGAAGTAGCGGCCTGTTTAACGCCGCCCACTTGCGAACAAATCGACTATCGTATTTATAATATAAAACGCACCGAAAGCATCATGGAGGTGGGTCTGAAGAAAGACTCGCCAGTCACATACAGCAACGGAAAGCGTCTGTTCACCATCGACCAGAAGGTGGATGCGCTGGTCCGCATCAAGATGACCGGATGTTCAAAAGCCGAGGTGGCCAGGAGCCTACACGTAGCCGAGTCCACGTTCCGCGGCTGGTTTAAGAACAAGGACATTGTCATGAAAGCAGAGGCCAAATACAACGAGATGAAGTCAAAGTCTTCGTCCACGTCATCGGACGGTTACAAGTCGGACGACAATTCCAAATCGTTTTCTGTCGACGGCTCTGACAACAATTCATCGACGTACACTGATGAGCGGGAGGGAAGCTCGTCCCGGTTCAGCAGCCCAGATCCATGCGTGTCCACTTCAGTTCGCTGCAGTCCCGAGAGACTTCATCACAAGCTCAAGCTTAAGAAACAACAGCTCAACAATACTTTGTGCTTGAACAACAACAACAATGTTGTCGGTGGCTTGCTCGGTGGTGGTTTGATGGGAAGCGGTCTCAACGGTGGTCTCAATGCTGGTCTCAACGGTGGTCTCAATGCTGGTCTCAACGCTGGACTTAATGCCAGCCTCAATGCCAGCCTCAACGCAAGTCTCAGCGCCGGTTTCAACGCTAGTCTCAGCGCAAGTTTTAACGCGAGTCTCAGTGCTGGTCTCAACGCAAGTCTCAGTGCCGGTCTCGGCGCAGCTGGACTTGGCGGTGGCCATGGCGTTGTCGGACTTAACGGTGGCCTGAATGGTCTTAATGGCGGTCTTAATGGTGGTCTTAATGGTGGTCTTAATGGTGGTCTTAATGGTGGTCTTAATGGTGGTCTTAATGGTGGTCTTAATGGTGGCCTCAGCCTTAATCAGCAACAGCAACAATTGCAACATCATTTGACGCAGCTAGCCCATCACCCGCTCCATCACAACATGTCGCTTGGCAGCCTCAAGAGTAGCAACGTCGCCGCCGCAGCAGTTGCCGCCGCAGCCGCCGCCGCAGCTGCCGCCGATCACGCGAGTCTCAGGCTGAGCCCCGCTGAAATCCAAACCAAAATTAACAACTACTTTAGCCCGTCCCCAATACAGGTGAGTCATTTATATGATAATATTAATAGTATACAATAAAATGATTATACAATATATCACGCGTAATACAATATAGGTAMCTACCACAATATAATTTGTACTATTGTGTGTACCGAGTGTATTGTATATTATACAGTTCGTGTTCGCCGGTATATACGCGTCCACGCTCGGTTCCGGTGGGTCGTTGCAGGTCCTTTGACTCTGCGGGTTCCTTCCCTCCCCTTCACCACGTCTTCAGCGGTGGTCCACACACAAAACGTTTCAAAATATTAAACACGTTCGGTCGTCTTATTTTGGGTGTGCGGGGTATATTATATATTATTATATGTGTTATAATATATATACCATTTTTTTTTCGGAAATTTTTACAACCGACGCGTATATTGTCGTCGGCGGTTTCACGAGATTCATATACGTAGCTTATATATATATATAATATATATATATATAACAACCCTCCACGCACAAAGAGGAAAAAAACCTTTTTATTTTTCTGTATAATAATACTCGTACGCGCCTTTTTTCCATCCGTATGCCCTACCCACAACCCGCCCACTGTGTGCATATATATATATATATATTATTGTCGTATACATAGTACGATCGCACGACACATGCACACACACACACACACACTCTTTCGGGTGTATATAGCATAATATATATATGTATACGCTTTGACGCCGTCGTTGCCGCCGTGTCATATGTGTATACTATACATACTGTGTATGTACTTTATATGCGTTTAGGTTATTACGGCGTGTGCGAGTGACACACACACACACATCTACACGTGTGTAAATACTCGCAAACGCACCGCACACGACGACGGTCAACGTTATTATTACTCGCGCCTCACACACGCACACACACACACACACA